TGTGTGTGTGTGTATGTGTGTGTGTGTGTGTGTGTGTGTGTGTGTATGTATGTATATATATATATATATATATATATATATATTTGTACACACACGCACACATACACACACCCTGATGAGGACAAATACACATGAATTTTGTCATTCAGCTTCTTATTTGAGAACCTCAAGTTGTGCAATGTTTTCCTGAAACATTGAGCAGTTGAACATACACATTCAAAAGTTTAGAGGTCAAATTAAATTCACCTGTAAAGGTTATAGTGCATTTTCGGGTGATCCTGAAATTTCCCGAGAAGCCGAATACCGTGAACTTTTTGCGACCAGTCTGAGGTGTCCAATCCATGTAACTGAGCTGCTTTTACTCCTTTTTTGATTAGCAGCACCTGTGGGTAAAGTCAAACTGTGGCAGGATTTTTACTTTTTGGACCTGGATTTGATAACCCTTGTGACAATGGATCAACAATACATTATTAATTCAACTGTAAAGTTAACTAAAGACATAATAATACACCATTTGGATAGTTTTGACAAACTGCCTACTTGTTTTGGGTTTTCTAAATGACTACAGTGAAACTCCTTTAGAACGAAACCTACATGGGCGAAAATACCCCCTTATGTGAAAAAATCTTCATGCATTAACACAATTCCCATTCTCCTGCCCCCCAAACGTCGAAACCCCCTGTTGCGTTATACGAAATATTTTTTTCTGCTCTTGCCTCATGACAAGATTCACGACAACAAAGTCTAATCCAACAGCGACCTCTTCTACTTCGTTCAGAAACTGCAACAGCAAACACCACATTGGTTTACATAGTGAACGATGTTTATTTCGGTCACAGCTGCGAGTTTCCTGGACTCAACATACTCATTGCTGCTCTGCCATTGGCTTACCGAGCATCATCCTAGCCTCCGATTGGCCAAGAGGGACCTCACTGTCTATGTGTGTACATACTGAAGCTAGATCCGTAGCATCCGATTAGCTGCTCAGAGTAAATTGCTTATGGCTCGACGGACATTCAAATAAAAGAACGTTTCCTCAAATGCTTCACTTGTTATCATGCTAAAAACACCCACGGGACGCTTCGTAGTCCTCGATGGCCACAGTTAGCTCTCGAAGGCTAAAAGCCTTATGCTAACTAGCGCGCTTCTCTCTCATTAGCACTCCAGTTAGCGTCAGGTTTTTAGCCTTCGAGAGCTAACTGGGTGGAAAGAAAAGCCACCGGGTCCAGAAGTATTTGTTATTGTTAGATTCAGACGAGCGTGGACGTTATAATGCTAAAATGGCGACAAAACGGACCTTTCGATGTCAAGCAGCTAAGACAAGAAGAGCGCTGATGCTGGAAGAGAGGGTAAAAGTGATCAAAATGACTGATGCTGGAAGACAGGGTAAATGTGATCAAAATGAAAGACGGAGCAAGCGAAATAATAGACATTATCCAAGAAATTGATGTTAGTGAAAGTGAATGCTGATCATAAATTTCGCAATTTCTTTCCCTTTTTTTCTTTCTACACTGACAATATGAAGTGTCAAATAAGTGTGTGCTCATACTTATGCACTGTTGGAATAAAAATAGAAGCCACATACGTTTGTGTGTGCGTGTATACATACATTTGTGTGTGTGGGTGTGTGTGTGCTTACATCTGAGATCAAATTTGCTACAGTGAAAAACCCCCTGTTGTGAAACATTTGCTGCAAACATGATTTCATTGTAGAGGAGTTTCACTGTATTCGCATTCAAACTATTGTGAGTAGCTTGACAGAAAGTTAACACGTGCGTTTTAAAATTCAAACTTTCTGTAATAAGATACCATCTTGTAAAAAAAAAAAAAAAAAAAATGAGATCAAGATAAAGCATTTAATTTTTTTCATAAGCTGTTTAATTTGACTGAAAAGAATCTCTTATCTGAAAATAAATTGAATCAACCCTCTTATCTTTCTGTCTCGGACAAAAAAATATTTCAGCAATAATATCATCACCCCTAAAAATTACTTTAGTTTAATATTTTTATATTTCCTTCATGTCCAAATTGACTGTTTGCTGTTACATTGGTAATATTTCACCTGATAAATAAATGCCTTTAGTGTAACTGGCTTGAAGCAAAATAATTCTGATTGGATACCTGTATAGCTGTTGTTGTGCTGTGCCGGTCTCTTTACTTAGGAAATAACTGAAAAACAAATTGCACATATGTTTTACCAGAACATATTTCTCATGCTATTACATTATGTTATCTTTTGATAACTCTCCTTACACAGATTTGGTGCTCTCATCATGGCCCAGAATTTGAGAGACCTCCCAGCTCCCAGAGGTCAAAGGAAGAAGTTTGACGTCGTCTCCCTTGAACGAGAAGCAAAAGGAATTCATGGCATGGCAAACACAAAAAACAAACCCAAAAACCAAAACGTGACCTAACATGCTAAGTCAATGTCGTATTTTGATCCTAAAATTGATTATTTCTGTCATCAATATTTCTAAGAGTAAAATTGTTTCTAAATCCATACAAATCAGAGATCAACCACTGTTTCATAACTAAATGCGTTCCAACTCTGACATTTGATTTTACATAAGGCAGAAAGAAGCAGAACTGAAGTGACTGCATTTTGATTCAAGCTCTGTCAGTTGTACTTGGTTGGAGATCATAGTCACGTGGCGGAATGCTCCAAGTACAATGTGTTGTCGCGGCAATGTCGTGAAGAATATTGTACAGTCTTTGGAAAACATCGGCTCTTCATTCTAGGGAAAACACAGTAAACAAAGATGCGTTCTTACAAGGACACAAATACAGTGTTATCAGTGAATGTAAAACAAAGAACAATGCATTTAAATACTGTATTTTCTATACTATAAGGCACTTCATATTATAAGGTGCTCCTTCAATAAATGGCCTGTTTTAAAACTGTTTTCATATATAGGGTGCACTGCATTATATGGCGCATACAATAGTGGCTGCGGTTGACAAATGCATCCACTAGATGGTGCTATGCTCAAGGGAATACAATACAGTGAAATTCCTCTACAACGAAATCATGTTTGCAACAAGAAATTTTTCACAACAGGGGGTTTTTCACTGCAGCAAATTTGATCTCAGATGTAAGCACACACACACACACACACACACACACACACACACACACACACACACACACACAAACGTATGTGTACATGCACACACAAACGTATGTGTACTCTATTTTTATTCCAATAATGCATAAGTATGAGCACACACTTATTTGACACTTCATATTGTCAGTGTAGAAAGAAAAAAAGGGAAGAAGAAATTGCGAAATTTACGATCAGCATTCACTTTCACTTACATCAATTTCTTGGATAATGTCTTTTATTTTGCTTCCTCCGTCTTTCATTTTGATCACTTTTACCCTCGATCACCACCCAAGACAGCGTTGCTCAGCTGATGTCATGCAATGAACTTTTAAAGCCAGCCATGGGACGGTTCGTAGTCCTCGATGGCCATAGTTAGCGCGATGGAACTCGCCTTCTCTCCAATTAGCGCTCCAGTTAGCGTAAGGTTTTTTGCATGATAACAAGTAAAGCATTCCAGGAAACGTTCGTTTATTTGATTGTCCGTTGAGCCAAAAGCAAGTTACTCTGAGGAGCTAATCGGATGCATTCCACTCTACCTTCCACGGATCTAGCTACAGTATCTACACACATAAACAGTGAGGTCCCTCTTGGCCAATCGGAGGCCAGGATGATGCTCGGTAAGCCAATGGCAGAGCAGTTATGAGTACTTTGCGTTCGGGAAACCCGCAGCTGTGACCGAAATAAACATCGTTCACTATGTAAACCACTGTGGTGTTTGCTGTTGCCGTTTCTGAACGAACCAGTAGAGGTCGCTGTTGGATTAGACTTTGTTGTAGTGAATGTCTTCACGAGGCAGGAGCAGAGAAAATGATTTCGTATAACGCAACAGGGGTTTTTTTCGTCGTATGGGGGGCAGGAGAATGGGAATGGTGTTAATGCATGAAGATTTTTTCACATTAGGGGGTATTTTCTCCCATGTAGGTTTCGTTCTAGAGGAGTTTCACTGTACAGCTTTATTGATCAATCTTTCACAACCGCTGAAGTTGTAACAACAACAACTGGTCACAAACACGGAAATTATGAAGACAATTTATTCAACAAAAAGGCACACAAACTTCGTGGGCTCACATCCACAGGGGGCTGAATATCCTTCGCAGTTTTGCTTGATTCCTTCTTCCTTCGTTTAGTCAGTAATTAACTATGCTTTTGGGATCACTTTCATTTGATAATTGCTGCACAAAGCTCACAAAGTAGTTGTCTGAGGGTGATTTGGCAAATGCACGTCAATTAGTGTTGGGCAGAACCCGTTAAGGTTACGATTGGTTCCTACGAAAAAAAAAAAAAACAACACTCTGGCATAGTAACACGAACAGGGAAACAACTCAATGGGGAATCTAAAGAGAGTTACAGTCTCTTTAAATTAGGCGCATCGGACTATAGGGCGCATTTTCGGCTGTTGAGAATATTGAATGCTTTTAGGTGCGCCTTATAGTGTGGAAAATATGGTAAATAACCAAAGCACTGGTTGTCTCTCTGGCAACAAGAAAACACTTTTTGGAATTTAAAAAAAAATTCAGTATCAGATTTTTGTGTTCGCTGATCAAGCACACTATATCCAAAGCTTGTTTGTTCAATTACCGAAGATAACGCTGAAAAGTAATGCTCGTGCTGGCGCAATAAATTCTCCTCATGAATGAAAGGTCAGAAGAGTGGTTGGCATCCATATTGCTGGCTGTTGTCCGCACAAAATGATGTAAAGCTGTTATTTTAGACAAGACAATTGGGAGTACCATACGGTATTAGTGATCGCGTTGGTGGTGATCGTTGTGAAATAGGATCCAGATGAGGTTTGATTGTACTCTGTGGTCAACTTTTTGCCCTATCACCTTTAACGGACAGCTGTGATGTAGCAGTTTTTCATCATAACAATCATATATGAAAACAATAATTTGTTGATGGACTCGTTTTAGTGTGTTTAGTAAATCAAAGTTGAATTGTGTAAAAATGGCCCTCGCACCCTTCAATTTTACTCTATGATGATTTCTTTTCAAAGCTGCTGCTATTGTGTCACCCAATCAGCTCGCTAGCTCCCCTCCCGTCTTTTCAGCTTTTTGTGTTTCTGCGATGTCTTGACTTCATCTGTTTTCATTCAGTCTGTCAGATCACTTTGTGTTCGTCAGGTCATTTTCAAGAGCTCTTTTCCCCGATGCCTTTTTAGTTGTTGCTGTTATATTTCTTATTGTTTCAGCGGCGCCTTCCAGATTCGTTTCATAAATGCTTGTGACTTTGCTGCCTGCAATCCGCGCCTGTGCTTTCTGCATTTGGGTCTGCTGACTTGCATCAGTAATCGTTATTGACACTAAAAAGAAAGACCTCTCTTTTCGTGCATTCCCGAGAAGTTGAATTGAGAATTTCTGCAATTCTGTCTCATATATATATTTTTTGTCATGTTGACTGTTCAGTTTTATTTCAAAACAGATGTCCCAGTATGTTTTGGGAGATATATTTACCTGTCGACTGATCCACTTATCTGAAATCAGCACATGTCTCTGGATTGAAAAGACCAGATCGCAACAGCGTCAGAAATTTTCTGTACATTTTTAATGATCATTTGAGAAAATACATGAAATAAAAGAATCCTACCTTTGCGCATTTATTTGTATGTATGTCGCAGAGCGTAAGAATGGACATGTTTTGTGCCCGATTTACCCAGCGCACAGCCAACGTGTCCACTGTCACCCATTTCACCATGGTGATGTAATCTTGACTAAAACGAATAAATCACACGCCGTGACAACTTCAGAAAGCAGTTTCAATTTTCAGAGAATGTATGTTTTAAAACTAAATTTGACTGCGGGTTTACCTTTTTACAAGACTGTCTGGAGGTAACAGTTGAGTTGTTTGGGAGCTGCCATCGAGAAGGACAACATAAAGGCTTACAGTGGGATTGATTTGACCCATCTGGATGAATATAAGAAGAACGGCAGTTGATTTAAATCAATCAAATCAAATCAAATGTGACAAATAATTCATGGTGCACTGCACGGACCGTGATGATAAGAACGCAACACAGTATAATTATTTATGTCTGAATGAGGTTTCATAAGTTATGACGGGGGGGTGGTCATAGTAATGGAATATACGACTATTTGCAGACGTCCATGCGGAGAGAAAACTGTAATGTGCAATACGAAGGCCCTGGAGCAAGCAAGACAATCATGGCTCATATTATTCCTGTCTTCTTAAATCCTTTGCTTTCTGATTCACCCCACTGATCTGCCTGTAACTATATTTGACATCTTTTTCAAAGCACAAATAACTGCATTAACTAGTCTCGTGATGTGATTGGAACATGTTCAGACAGTAACACTGCAAAAAAAAGAAACAAGGGTGACTGTTATTTCCAACTACCACCCCAATCAAATTAACAGTAAAAGAATGCTCTAAAAAAATGATTCATATTTTTTCATCCTCCTTGTGAAAGAAATTCTTTTGTCTTTAAAATCAACATGATTGAAATAAATATAAAAAAAATCATTATTATTATGTTGGTGGTACAGTGACTGACGGGTTAGCACTTTCGCCTCATAGTGCAGAGATGCAGGGTTCAATTCCGGCTCCGGCCTTCTTGTGTGGTATTTGCGTGTTCTCCCCGTGCCTGCGTGGATTTTCTCCGGGTACTTCCTCCCACATTCCAAAAACATGCATGGTTGGTTAATGCAGTGGTTCTCAATTATTTTCTGTCATGCCCCCCCAAGGAAGAGGAAAACATCTCGCGCCCCCCTGCCCCCGCACGACTATAAATAGTATCATTTGTCTATGAAATTGTTATAAGTACACCTTTGCATAACACTGTATCCTTATTAACGTATAAGAGAATAAAAAAAAAAAAAGAAATATGGACCATCTTTATGGACCAACTTACAACAAAGAATAGCTTTAGTAACTGGAACAGAAAAGATTTAAAGTGCATCTGAAATTCAAAAATAACATTACATCCTTAATTTAACAAATATTTTTTGACTGACCATGTCAAACCATACGATACTGAAAAATAAAATGACATAAAATCAATAACTAATAATGCATTCAAACTAATCACCAACATTATCTCAGGAGCACAATATTAAAAAAAAAAAACGTTAACCAGCAAAACAAAAATTTTTTTAATCAAAGATGATGTCTGGATTAATGGCTACAATGAGCACGTTTTGCAATGCACAGCTTTTCGAAGCGAGGTTTGAAGCAGGACACAGCAACTCTCGGCTCCTGCTCAATGTGTAGCCGGGACCTGAATTTTAGTTTACTGAAGTAGCAGTCACAAAGCGGCATGATTGTTGGCAATATTCGGCACGTTTTCGCTGAAAAAAAACTCAAGCAGCTTATCAGCCTGATTGGGGTGTAATGTCTTTAAGTGACGCCTTAATTTATTTGGCTTCATGCTGTCCGCTACCAAAAGGTTAAGACACAGTAAGCACATCGATCTCTCCTCGTCTGCCACCGCAGTCACATTGAAGCCAAGCGCTATATACGCCTCATCATATTTCCTCCCTGAGAATGCTCCCTGCGTAAACTCTGCCAATGAGAGCGCCACTGCCCCCTAACGTAGTGGAGGTGCAACTGCACGTTATTTTAGGACAGTAAAAAAATAAAAAAGCATGTTCCCCGAGGTCAAACGCACCCCCCTTGACGGAGCCTCGCCCCCCCCCCTCCAGGGGGGCGCGCCCCACTATTTGAGAAACACTGGGTTAATGGGACATTCTAAATTGTCCCTTGGTGTGATTGTGAGCGTGAATGGTTGTTTGTCTATGCGTGCCCTGCGACTAGCTGGCAACCAGTTCTGGTTGTACCCCGCCTACTGCCAAAAGACACCTGGGATAGGTTCCAGCACGCCTGCCACCCTCGTGAGGATGAGCAAATAGAAAATGGATGGATGGCTGTATTGTATTGTGTTTTTCATGCGTTATATTTTGTATATTGTATATTTAATTGTCTCACAGGAATAATTTTGAGGAACACTGCATTTTTTTTTTTGTGACTTTCTGCCATAAACATTAACACTGAAACAAATGAGGGATTAAATGTCATTTGGTGTGTGGTGAACTAATATAACAAAAGTTTCACTTTTTGAAACAAATTATTGACGTAAATGGACTTTCCCTCAATATTCAAATTATCTGGCGCGCAACTGCAATACATCTTTTATCAGAGAGGTCTTTGAGACACTTGACAAAGTGTGTTAACTACATTGTCTCACTAAAATACATTAAAAAAACTCTCCTACCTGACATATTGGTGGCACAGATCCCCCTTGCTTTTCTAGTTCTCGGTTTTAAAAGGCGCTCATTAATATTCAACATTTGTGTACAGTATGAAGAGGTTAACAAAACATTGACACAAATTAGTCAAATGTTCTGGCCAACCAACTACTGACATTTTATTAAGCTTGTGGGTGAAAGAAGCCTGACAGTCAAGTGTTACCTTTGGGTATGGGTACTCTTTCCCCCTTGGGTAAATCGAACCCATGTAAGATGGCAGAAGCATGTTTGGGACAAGGGAGTCATTAATGGTCAGGTAAGCAAGTCTTGAGCCATCAGGCGACCACCAGTGAGCTGCTTGACTATGCAAAACCTCCTCTGGGAAAAAACAAGAAAGTGCAAATTGAAGTTGCAAACCACTCAACTGTGACTAAAAGGTGAACTATGAACATTATTATTGTCCATTTTCATCTCTTTTACTGGAGATGCCGTGGCAAATTTCAAAATCAACATGTAAAGGATGTCTGAAACCTTGTTATTTCTATTCATTTTTTTATCAGTCAAATCAAGAAGGTAGTTTTGGTGGTTGTAATAATATTTTACCTTCGTACAGCCAGTCTGCAATGCCATTGAAGATGATGGCCTCCTGTCCAGATGATGTGAGTCTCCATGAGCTGCTCTGAACATCGGATTGGTAGTAAATGTTGTTTTCAAATATGTATATCTGTGGGATAAACATGTATGAAATTAAGAAGATAATGTTGGTGTAAAAAAAAAAAACATTCACCCTGGTACAGACAAATTATAGATGCATACATACATACCGGTACATAAATATAGGATGTTTTACAAATATAGCTACAGATATGTGTGAGTGATTTGCAAACCCCCTCACTTAGCTTTTTAATTGCCGCCAATGTGTTCAGTCTGTGGATGTTTTTACATGTATCTAGGATACGAATAATTTAGTTTTCTTCCATAAATTGGAGGGACATTTGATTTTTTTTCTTGACAAGAGGATCATATGTGTTCATTGATGTCTTTGATTGAGGTACTGTATTTTCTTTGCTCGATTTGGTCAAGTCCGACGCTTTCAAAGAATACGTTAAACTACAACCTCTATAGTGTTATTGTCAGTAAATTAGGATGACTGGCCGGTGTAGAGCCAATTCTTATGTGTACTTTAGTTAGGTTCTGACTCATTGTGATTCAGATTCCTGCCGATTCTCTTGTCTTGCGTTCACCTGTTCGAGTGTACTATCCCACACCTGTGTCTCGTCACTTCCGGTTACGGCATATATTTTACCTTGTGTCTAATTCTGTCTCATTGACAGGTTGTCATACCCTCATCATCATATTCCAAGAGTCCTTTATCATGGCGATTTTTCGGTACCTCTGCGATATAGCCAACATTTCAGATCTCAATATTCTTGAAAATGATACAATAGCAACATTGCTATAGTTTCAGTGAAAACAAAGTATTTTTAATTTAGTAGAACTTATTCACAGCCGTTATATTATACATTAACAAAGTCATGAATAAATTTAAAATAAATTCACATTGGACTGCAACTGTGCTTTCATGATAAATATTTTTTTTCAACAACAGAAGTGTTTGCTGTGTTTGCATGATTACACGTGTTAACTGCATCGTGCCGTTGTTCTGTACCAATTTGCCCATGCATGACCCTAGTGATGATAAGCAGTTCAGAAAATGCATGGATGTATTGTGCGGTTTGGGTAAAAACAAACAAACAAAAAAAAAAAAAAAAACGTTAAACCCGACCCCCTCGCTTACCCCTTAGGTTTGCCAGTTTCCTACATTTTACTGACATCTGATCGTTCTGTGTGAGCTACGCTCAAGGAAATACCAAAATAAATTCTGGAGGGGCCTATAGAATTTATTTTGTGATTTCCTCGCTTGATTTTCTGTTTTGATGCATTATTTTCAATTTTCATAGTTTCATTGAAGTAATCGTTAATTTACGTTTTTCGGAGGTGGTCATGAACGCCTCTCGAGTCGAATGGAAGGAGCATAGCTCCATCTAGTGGATGCATTGTAGATTGCGCCTTATAATCCAGTGCGTCCAATATATGAAAAAAATTACTCAATAAACCATTCATTGAAGATGCGCCTCATAATCCAGTGCACCTTTTAGTGCGGAAAATACGGTACATCATAACAAATGAATACTGTATATCAACAGAATACAATGATCTGCAACTCATGTTTAACCTATATTTAATTGAATACACGACAAAGACATGATATTCAATGTTCAAACTGATAACAAAAAGCTGTGACAGGTGGCAAAAAAGACAAAGAAAGTTGAAGAATGCTCATCAAACACCTGCTTGGAACATCCTACAGGTGAACAGGCTAACTGGGATTGATTCACAACCAAAGATGAGGCGAGGGGTCACCTCTTTGTGAACTACATGAGAAAATAGTCAAACAGTTTAGGATAATGTTCCTCAATGTACTTCTGAAAACCAATGTCAATAAATACAGTTAAGCGCTACATCCGCAAGCGTAATTTAAAACTCTTCGACGCAATGCAAAAGCCATTTATCAACCACACCCAGAAACGGCCCCGGCTTCTCTGGACCCGAGCTCATCTAACATGGACTGATGCAAAGTAGAAATGTGTTCTGTGGTCTGACGAGTCCACATTTTCAATTGTTTGGGGAAATTGTGGACATCGTGTCCTCCTGGCCAAACAGGAAAAGAACCATCCGGGCTGTTATGGACCCAAAGTTCAAATGCCAGCATCAGTGGTGGTATGGGGTTGTGTTAGCATCAATGGCATGGGTAACTTACACATCTGTGAAGGCTTCATTAATGGTGAAAGGTACATACAGGTATTGGAGAAACATACAGTATGCTGCCATCCGAGCAAAGTCTTTTTCATGGATGGCCCTACTTAATTTCAGCTAGACAATGTCAGACCACATTCTGCACGTGTTACAACAGTGTGGCGTCATAATCAAAGAGTGCGGGAACAAGACAGGCCTGCCTGCAGTCCAGACCTGTCTCCCATATGAAAATGTGTGGCACATTATGAAGTGTAAAATACAAGCATGAAACTGAGACCCTGAACTGAAGCTTACATGAAGCAAGATTCCACCTACAAAGTTTCAACAATTAACAAACTCAATTACTAAACCTTTCTTGGATGGTGTTTTAAACAAACAAAAAAAAAAAAAAAAACGTTAAGCCGTCACCTCTGCTCATCACGATGGTTGTGTATGCACTCATGCATTACATGGCAATGTGATGTGTGGACTCACTCAATATGAACTATGCCAGCCTAGATTGTGTTTTGAGGCTACAGTACATTTGTTAGGTTGATTGTTTTTAGTTATCATACATTTGCATGTTATTAAATTGATTATGCTTACAATGAAGAACGCTTATGCCTGCAATGAAGAACGATTATGCTTTGAATGAAGATATGCTCACACTTATAATAAAGAATGCTAAGTGCACTGTGTGACAGTTGAGGGACGCAACCACCTTTCCGAGAATGTGGTTGGAAAGAGATAAGTATTAAGACTAAACAAGAGCAAGGTCGGATATGGATGGAGCAGTCAACACTCGACTTGGTGTCTTTGTAATGATTGCACACATGTATGTAATTTTTCACTCACATACACACACACATAGTCAAACAAATTCAGTGCATCTTCAACAGCCCTCATCCTTTAGGTTGGACACACCCTGTTTTAGATTCCAAATGAGAAATAAATGAGAGGGTGAGCGGGGAGATCCTTGGATGACGTGCAGAGAACTGAAACCTAACGCTTCTCCTCATTCCCCCCTTGAGTGATTGGTACCAGAATCCAGTGTGTCTTCTCCTCATTGGGTCTTTATTATGAATGTCTAATTGATAACCCTGACAACATTACACTGCAATACATTGTGTTGTATTGTATGACCTTTTTTTTATCCACAAAAGGATAGTGGCAGTCAACTAAGATGGACGTTGCAAAAGAAATAGGGTGTGGCCAATAATCATGTGGAAAGTATGGATGTATTGAGAGGTGAGGCTCAGTCCCATTCACTGAAGAGCTAACATTGTCATTCATAATTATTTTTGAACATATGTACTGCAGTTTTAATAATGCTGTATGAAGACAAGACAAGGATAAATCAGTTGAGAAAAAGAGATTTTCTTGTACACATTTAACAACAACAACTTGTGTTACGGCTAACAAAAGGAAAAGATAGCAGTGGATCCAAAAGCAAGACAGTTGGGAGACAGTTGATAGAGCAGTGGTTATTAACCTTGTTAGAGGTACCGAACCCAACCAGTGAAAAATAAAAATATGATTTTTTTTTTACAATTCAAGACATAAAAAAAACACATTTATTAAAAACAGAAAAAAACTTCAATAAAATTTCAAGAGACAAATTTTTTTAAACAAAGATTTGCACTTTACCACTTTTAACAATTATTTCATAATTAAGAGCTTGAACTTGAGCATACAGACCTAGCCTACTGTATTGTACACATAAAAAGCACTGTAAATTAAACAAAGCGTGTCTGGGGACACTTTTACTGAAAGAGGACAATACTCAAACATTAAATGCTGTAACTGTAACAACTGGGGGATACCTTTAAGCGGAAGAAAAAAATGAAACACTTGTATACTTGTGTGTATTCATGATCAAGGCTGAACTGATACTGTAAAGTGCTGTAACAGCTCTAACAAAGCCTGTCTTGGGACACTTTTACGATCATTAAGATAACTATAATAATGATAAGTATTCCGTTATGAGGCAACAACCATGACAGGCAACACAAAGGGGCTGGGCTGCCTGGGTGCAGGCAAACAACCAGATGATTTGACACAGAGCAGAGGAAAACACACCTGACGTCCTGCATACCTCCTGCCATACCTGTTGGTTATCACCTTAGTGCAGGGACCTTTGGTATTCCTTCTCTTGAACAATCCTCTTCAAATCTGGTTTGTATTCCATTGTTGCCACTTGAAACAGGGCACTGTCGAGCTGCAGTGGTTACTTACTTGGGTCAGCTTGCTACAACATATGTGACCGAAGATCGACTTTTGAAGGGAAGAACCTCCCGTGATCGATCCGATCGCGCACTTGCAAGCATTTGCGCACGTGCAAGCATATATAGTACACACGCACGCAACACGCATTGAACCAGTCAAAGAGCCGCAAGCGGCTCGCGAGCCGCGGGTTGGCCACCCCTGGCCGACAGGCTATGCTCAGGTTCAAGCTTCTTCAGTCTATAAAAAAAATAATGTTCATTGCTAATAAAGCACTGTCAATTTTACGTACGTCTAAATGCTCTATTGACTTCTCCTTTCTTCCTGAGCACCAAGAGACCCCAAGGCCCAGAGGCTAACATGACAGGTTCACTTATCTCAATTAAATCTTAGCATTTAGTTTTTTCACGTAAAAAATAAATGTGATTCTATGCAATTCAGTGTTTTGGGGAGCCAAACGCTCAAGTTTCTTTCGTCTGTGTGGTTTTGCCGCAACGCCTTGAGGGTGGTTGAAATGGTTGGACAACCAGTGTGGGTGAAATCGAAGAAGCTAACTCCAGGGGCGCCGCCAGACCCCTGTATTGGGGTTTCTGCACCACTATTCATGAACTATGCCCCATTATCAAGTGCGGATTAGCCAAGAGACTGGCTGGTACGACCAGAGAGGGAAGAAAAAAAAATTGCTCCACAATTTATGTCGCAGCC